GCAGCTCAGCAAAGCATGCATTGTCATCGCATTTCTTTGCACCTTCAGCGGAAAATAGAGTGAGTGCGTTCTGTCATGTCAAGCACATACACTAGAGAACGGGAGAGGTTGCTGTCCCCAAACAGGTCACCTTAAACTTTGGTATGCCAGCTGCGGTAGTCAAACCTGAAACCAAGTGCAAAGCTAAAGCCCAACCTAAACAAGCTAAGCTGTTCTTTTCTAAAACTCCCATGTAGTTTGATGTGCTTTTGCGCCCTAGGTGGCTGCACCAGCAATCATATTGCGTGAGACAGTTATTGCAATGGTGGTGCTTTAAAGGTTGTGCATGCTTCCTTCGGTGTGCGCTGTTCTCTGCTGCACCCGTCAGGCGCAGGCATGCTAGGCTACGGCTAAGGAAAGGGCGCTGTCTGGAGTGGCCTCACATTCCAGTTTGTGCCCGTTCTCTTGTCAACACTTGTGAGACTGCGGTCAAGGAGGCATGCTTCGAGAGTGGTGTGGCGAAAAACGTTTGCATCGTGTCATTCCAACTTCTCTTGACGGCCGCTGCTGGTTCACATGCCCGGTCTTGCTTGTTATAATGCTCATGACCTTGCAGCGGTATGGGCATTCGCGTGCTCATACCACTGTTGGGGGTGGCGCGGTGTGTACAGGCTGCGTTCGTGGCTCACTGGTAACCTCCGCTGCTTGAGACACTTGGTCCAGGAACTNNGTGCAACAGTCTTGCCTCGCTACCTTTGGGTGGCGGGGCGAGACTTCCGTAGGCAGGTAGTTCACTGTAGATCTGTGTCTAGCTTTGGTAGCTTCCTTTTCACTTAGCCTTGGAGCTGCGTACCTTCTTACGCTCGGAGAAGAAGTTTGTCACTTGGCTCAAGCCCCGCTCCAGATCGTGCAGGAGGCCCTCTTCATCCCGTGATTGGGCTGAGCCTTTGTCTGCCGCGGTGGACCGCCCTCTGCGGGAACTCTCCACCATCTTCACTGGGCACATTGTGCCTGCCAATGCCTTGAGGTGCCAGCCTCGTTTGGTTCTTCTGGCAATGCATTATCTTGAGTCGCGTTGCGATGCATTTGTCAGCTCGCTCGACTCCGTTGATGTTGTTTTTTCGCGCATTTCGCAACGCTGAGAATTGTCCCTCTTGGGTTGCACAATTTTGCATTCAACTTTCATGCGCTCTGAGTGTCTTCTGTGTCTCGCTGAAAATGCTCTCGGCTGTTCGGCCTCGTGCACCTGAGGGAATCTACCTCCACGGCCACACGCATTGTGTGCATACTTGCCGACGCGTGCGTTCTCAAGCTTAGTGTCCCAGTTTTGACTGTGGAATCTTCTTTGACTCATGGACTGTGGAGCTGCCTGACGAAAAGATTCGTCAAATCCTTGATCAGATCGCTTCGTTCTGCAGACTGTCGCGGACCAAATCCAAGGACCTTGAATCCATAATTGGAAGTCTTCTCTGGCCGACCGGCCTGTGGCGCCTTGGCTCGCATAGCTCGCAAGCTTTCTGCAGCTTGCTCAATGCTTGCAACTTGACATCTCCTAGGCCTCCACTGGCTTGGTGTCAGCGTGGGCTGCTTGCTGAGGCCAGAGTGCTGCAGCCTCTTGGCAGTTACGCTTCCATCTTCCTCGCCTCCCTCGCCTCTTCGGATCCACAGCCACCGATTCGTGAGCCGTGAAGGCTGTTGGCGCTCTCGGCACTGAGTGGTGTGGCCACGTTCATCATGAGCACTGCCGGCCTGGAGGTGTCCCAGACCCAGAGAGGCACTTCTCGAGCATGTGTCTGACATGGTATTCTGAGAGAACACGACAGAAGACAGAGCAAATTCTCCATACTTCAGAGAGCACCTGGGGCCCAAGGCCAGTCTGTAGTTGCTTGTTTTTCTCTGCTTGCACCCATGGCCTTTTCAGGCCACTTCGCTGTTTTCCATCTCTCTTGGTTACCCTTGGGCTGCTTCAACCTCTTCGTAGGACCTCGTAGCCTGCGAATCTCGCTTTGCGTCTGGAAGTCACTGTCATTGGATGTGGGACAATTAGATCAGACCATCTCCGTCTTGTGTAAGGTTTGAGTGCAGAGCTCAGATGAATCAGCTCAGATAAAGAAGGTTGCCGGTAGATGGGCAACACAGCCGTGGGAGCAAATGGTGTCTTCCCCAATCCATTAGGATTGGCATTGGCGCCCTGTTGCAAACGGGCATTGCAGTGGGTACGTTTTGGGCCAGGACCGGCCATAACCTCTATCTCCAATCAGGTGACGCGGACTTGAAGCGACAAGTACGCCTCATGCTCTGTTTCCGACACGACTTTGAAAAAACGGGCCAGCCGAAATGCGTCGAAGTCAGAGGGGGAAGGGGAATTTCCTCCCGTCTTGGCCACTGCCTTGAACACAAACTAAGCAACATACTCTGCTGCCTGCAAGGTCGCGTCGCATGCCACTGCCCCATCGATTCCGCACTGCGCAGGCATGCAACAGCATGTCGCGCAGGTGCAACCTGCCCTACATTTTGTACACCTTTTCCATAAACACGTGGGTGTCCAAAGCTTAGACGAAGCCGAAGCGGACAGGTCAGGATGTAGGCAACCGGCTCCATTCGGATGCTCAAATGCTGTGCTCAGGTTGGCTTTGCTGGGGCTCGTGGACCTCGTCTCAGTCCTCCCGAGGTCGCTGAGTGCTGAGAGCTAAGGCAGCTGGGAGCTCAACTAGCCTCTTCCCTTTTCTCCTGAGAGGCCGCCCATCTCCCTTACTCTGGCAGGGGCCGGGCGCACAGGGAGCGCATGGGAGCGCAAGAAGCAAAACCTCGGGTCTTGGACTGCTGGAGGTCTCAGAGTCGTTGCTCGTTGTGTTTCTGCTTGCAAACCTTCTCACGGGGGCCATCAACCTGGCCCTGCAGCCGCTACTGCTGTTGAGGACCCCCGTCACAGCCCCAAAAATAAGCAACATGAAGCAATGCTTTTTGCCACACCCTGCCTGCAAAGAGAACTACTCACTACTTAGACCATGCTGGTGATGGCAACCTATTGCGTCTCCTGGCCAAAGCCTGAAGGGAGCTTGCGCTTTCACAAGTTACCACTCTCTCACTTTACGTGAGGTCGGCGCCGGTGGCCTTTCTGCGCGCCAAGAGCTTTCGACTGAAATTCTGGTGATGACAAAAGAGAGACAGCAGACGCGTGATGGCTACCGGAAAGCTCGCCCTAAAGTGCTCGCCTTGCTACACCCGAGTGTTTTTCGTGCTTTCGGAACAAGAGTGTGACCTTGGTTTGTGTTTGCATGCTCAGCATGTGCAGCATGTGCAGCATGGTATCTGCGAACTGCTTGTTCGAGCATGATTGGTCGTTGTCAAGAAGACATGTTGGTTCCAAAAGAGCTTGAAATCTCAACTGACTTGAAATTTGAAACTGGCTTCTCGTGACGCCACTGAAGGTAGGGAACCCCCAGGAGGGACCCGGGTTGAGCAATATGTGACAGGTTTGGCGGATGCCAATGGGTGATGCTGCGATGACTCAGTGCTGGGTTCACATTTCCCAACTCTGCATTTTGATGGCTTAACCCCAAGAAATTCATAGAACCTTGCACGAGTCCTGCCGCTTCTCTGCAGCAAAGTCTAGCTGACTTTGTGAACGTCTCGCAGTCGCTGGGATGCATCTCAAGGCAGGGCTCGTGCCGTTTTCATGGCTACAACCCGAAAATCCATAAACACTAGAAACCCCAAACCCTAGGATTTCTAAACCTAGAAATCCTTAACCCTAAAGGTCCATAATGCCCTACACTAAAACAGCACAAGAAACCCATAACCCCAGCAACCCTATAAAGCTCAAAATGTACATCCCAAAACGTTGGCTTTCCAAGTCTTCCAACATGCGAAAGGCGGAAAAAGCTCGAAACCTACATCCAAATGCGTTTGCTTTTTCCAAGTCTTCTAACATGCGAAAAGCGCCAGAATCTCAAAACCTACATCCCAAAGCGCTGGCTTTCCAAATCTGACAACATACGGAAAGTGCCACAAGCTCAAAACCTACATCCCAAAGCGTTATGCCTACAGCCTTCTGAGTAGAAAAAGAAGGCTCATGGCTGGCGCTTCCTACCGTGTATATATGAGATGTCCACTAACGGGCCATCCAATTTGAAGGCTAATCCGAAGATGCGCGACTCAACAGTTTGGTAGATAGCCAGGCCATACTGGAGTCTTAGTCACACGCTAGACCCGAGAAACCCCAAACGCAATCGAGCGTCTGTGAAAATGCTGTCCGGTCGCACAGCTGAGGGCTGAGGATAGCATCTAAAAGTAATTTTACGTTTGAGTTCGCGGAATGCCCCTACTCGCCTCACGACTAGACTACCCTTCTCATCAGGGTCATCTAAGTGTTCCAGCTTACCCTTATCGACTCTTTCCTGCACAAGGAAACTCTCATCAAACCTTTTAAAGACGGTAAGCCTGACCTGCCTTGAAATCTGCGTTTTTCTTGATTTCTGCAGAAGGCTCCATCGATCCAGAAACATTCACACGTCAAGCTCCAGCAAGCTACACGCTGCGCGCCCTGACGCCATGGGCGCATGCTGCAGACCCATCCAAAACCCAGCCAAATCCACACAAACCCACCCAAACCCACCCAAAACCCAGGCGAAACCCAGCCGAAACCCACGCAAACCCACCCAAAACCCGCGCGAAACCCTAGACAAGCCTACCCTTAAATGCCTTTATGGCAATGGTTAAAGCTCGTCGCACAGCAATGTGCGTGTGATCCTTGCTGAGGGGCCATGCCTGGCATGGTCAAACCACAACAGGTACCAGTACCTCTTTGGAGATTGGGCTTGTTAGCACGTTAAGAAGATCACGGCCTCATCCTCATCTTGATGGCCTTGCGCTGGTGACCTTGGATCTACGTAGTCAAGGATCAAAAGCACAAGAAGCTGCTTGCCGCTGCAGCAGATGGACGTCTTTCACCAGGTTCTTGCCCGCGACAGGTTTCACAGAATGACACAGATGCAAAGACTGAGCGGCACAGGGTGCAGCTCATGTTTGCCGCGCGCTTGAGAGAAGGCACCAGCGCGCATGCATCAAAAAGAATAGGCTGCCGGCTCATCATTGGTCTCGTGACTCGTGAAGCTCGTTCTCATCATGCTGTGAATAGCCTCGAAGCCGTTATCCTTGTACGTGGCAACAAAGAATCAGGTCACGGCATGTCACATGTCATGACTCATGACCCTCTTCGGCGCTAGTAATCAGTAACAGCTGGTATACTAGCGAAGCGCTATGGACATCAGCTGCAGTGTGGACGTCGGTTGCAGCTTGGCAGCGCTTTCTGCTGGGTCTTTTCAGCTTGGTGCAAGCCGCACTTGAATAGATCAATTTTGCCTGCAGGCCTGTCTGCGTCTGGCACTGTACGGTCATGTGATTCAATTTTGGGGATTCGGGTGTGTGCTCAGGTGGGCTCTTCAATACCTTCACATTTGACTTGTCATGGTGGTCCTGATCTCAGCCTTGTTACTTAGACACTTACCGGCAGTTGAACCGCGGAGAGCACGCAAGGACCAGCACTGATGTGGAAGCGGAGGAATATGAAGCTTGTCATTGCTTCGATGATTTGCCCACAGAGTGGCTTGGTGTGCGCCCATGGAGCCCGGGGGGAGGGGGGGGGTGCGATCACACTCACTCTTGTAACACATCACGTGGATCTGAAGGTTGATTGGGCATGCTTCTGAGTACCTCATTGTAACCTCGGCGGCACTTCAGCCCAGCAAAACTCATTAACCCAGTTTAAGTTACGTTTTTTTGCGTGGCCGAGCTAGGCGAATGTGCCGCTGCGAGCAGCATCCTCTGCATGTCGTCGTACACTACCTGCAGAGGATGTGCTGAGAAGGCTGTTTCGAAACATTGCTTGATGATTGTGTGTCCGATACAACACTTGCCCCGAGATGTGTCCTTGTGTCCTAGGCACCGTGCTCGGAAAGAGGCTTCACGCGATGAGCTGCGCCGCCACATTGACCAAATCATTCGACACATACCAAGGACCAAAAAGAGACCAGCACCGGCTTGGTACCAGTACCTCTTTGGAGATTGGGCTTGCTAGCACGTTAAGAAGATCACGGCCTCATCCTCATCTTGATGGCCTTGCGCTGGTGACCTTGGATCTACGTAGTCAAGGATCAAAAGCACAAGAAGCTGCTTGCTGCTGCAGCAGATGGACGTCTTTCACCAGGTTCTTGCCCGCGACAGGTTTCACAGAATGACACAGATGCAAAGACTGAGCGGCACAGGGTGCAGCTCATGTTTGCCGCGC